GCGATAGGGTAGGGCGGTGACTTATGGGGGGACGGTGGCCCGGCCTTCAGGTGACCACCATGGCACAGTGCCTTCCCCATAGCCAGCACGGGCCCTGGGGCTGCCTGGCCTTGGGGTCTGGTGGCTCCAGGGGCTTTGTTTGTACGGGAGCAGCAAGCTGAGCACCACCAGCAGCTGGCCTCAAGGGGGACCTTGAGTGTCCCCCCACACACCCTGAACTCCAAGGCCTGTCTAGCCCCAAATCTTTCTTATGAGTGGAAATGTTAGTATTTACAGCTTCACCTGTGGTAACGTACTGCTAATGTTGGGCCTTCTATAGCTTTCAGGTGTGTTGGCAGCTCAAGGTGAGCGTTATTTGGGAGCCCAGCGTTTGAGGGGGTTTGCTAACGTACCTGAAGTGTACCTGCCTCATCTGGTGTTCCTCTTCTGCTGCCATGTGGCAAAAACACCCTTTTCCCTGCGTAAATTAACCCTGTGACCCCTCGTGGAAATGGCACTATATTTTGTCAATATCTCATTATCTTTATCAAGCTGTTTAAGGCATGTTTTTCTTCCTAATTTGCTTTCCATGTGGGGCTTGCACACACCACTAGGAGCATATTGGATAGTTCTTGGACACAGATGGTAGATTTTTAGGCAGAGGCAATTAAGATCATTTGGTCTAAACCAGACGTGCACTCTGTGTAGCCAGTGTTAGCCACCCCAGTGCAACACAGGCAAGGACTCTGAGATTACTACTTGGTGTAGATTTTGCTATCGCACTAAGTTAATATCACTCAAGTTTGACTGTGGTAGCATGGTTTTGAACAAAACTTTTATTGAGAATTAAATATTCTGCATTTTCCAAACTTTTTATGGATAGAAAAAACCCAAACCCTAGATGTGCTAACTAGGAAAAATTTCTCCTTCTGTCAAGTCTTATTTTAGTTTTCTTAGCTAATGTAGGGCTGCTACTGTGACTTATTGTTTGTTCTTTTTTATTTTAAAAATTATAGGAAGCAGAGCTTCTGCTGTTTCACATTGAGAAGTGTTTTTAATAATTGTTGCTATTCCTCCCTCCCCCCATTTTGTGAGAGGACATTATTCTTTGTCCTTTACTTGCAGAAAGAAACGTTATGGGGTTGGAAGAAAGGAATGTGACATAAACAGACCATGGAAGATTGCTTTGTCTTCTTTTTGCTTTTGCCTATTGGTGGCTTCAGGTTTTTCTTTGATTTTCTGAGGTGGTGTGGATTTTTTTGGGTTGAGGAAGGACAGCTGTTTTCTATTGGCAATTAGCCCCCCAAGAGGTAGAGGCTATTTACCTCAGTTACCTTCCAGAGAACTGGTTTGGAAAGTTCAGAGTTGGAGGCCTACTGGGAGGGGACAGATAAGGCAGCTTTCTGGTATGTGAAGGAAAAAAGTATTGATAATACCTAGAAAATGGTAAATCTTGAACTTACAACATTCTTTATTTTGCTTTAAAATAAGTTATCTAATAAGATTTGTGAAAGCAATGGCTAAGGTAAATATACTTTTCAAGACAGGGCTGTGGCAATGGACTTTATCTTCCTGATAAGTTACTACGTCTTGAAAAATTAGCTAGGCTGCACCTTTTACTGTCTTGTAATTTTTTGTAGACAAAAGCATAGCATGCGTATTCAAGGAGAAGAAATAAACATATCTATGAAAGAAGGACGTGGTATAAACCCTCTCTGGAGTATCTTATATTATGTATTCAGTCTGTAATTCATTTTGGTAGAGCCTGGGCAATAATCTTATGGCAAAAGTGATTTAATCTCTAGGTAGAAATAAAATTTAGATATAGTAGCATTTGTTATTTATTAGTACTGTATGGCTTGATATATTTATGTATTGAACAATGTGATCTTCTATTGTAGATACATATTTTGTTCTTAAAGGCATTATTAGAGAGTTGGCGGAGTCCTTGATTCAGTGTACGTGTGTTTAATGGTTTGATGTTGAGATAGTAGGTAGCCATTCAAAGTAATACAGTTAGTAGCAAAACAGACTTACAAAAGTCTGTTTTCTTAAATAATTGGCTAGTTCTCTGAATACCTTTAAACTTAGGAGGTATCCTGTTTGTTGTATGGATTTTTTTTCCTTAAGCTGTACTGGGAACTTATTAGCAAAATGACTCCATTCAGTGATGTGCTTTTCACATCCGTAAATTATTTTAATGCAATTACTCATTAATAGTTGCAGATGTTAGAAAATCTTTCTGACTCCAGTACTTGTTGGCAGAGGTTCTGATGGATAGTCTTATCTTTGTTGGTATCTTTCTCTTTGCTTTTTTTGGTTTTTTCTATATAGGGAAACATTTAAAGGACATTTACAAATACTGCCTGTGTCTGAAAGCAAAATGGTAATGTATGTTGCTTAGGCAAAAGCATTCAGTCAGTCTGTCTTCTGTAATCTTAGCTTTTGAAGATGCATCTGGGTATCTGAACAACTCACATGTAAAGCGTATGGAGCGCAATGGCTCTGTACATCTGTGTATCATTGTAGTGGATGGGGATGCAGACAAGCCTAACAATGGGTAAATGTTTGAAGAAAATTCAATCATAGTCTTCTATTATGAAAAATGCCCCTAGAGATCAAACGACCTCTTGGTTGTCAAAATTCCCTCTGTCAAAGAAGTTCATATAGAAGAGATTTTACATCTGCAAAGAAAGATGGTTGTGTAATTTCAGTAGAATGTGGTTGCAGCCTGATGTTCTGCACCACAAAGAACCTCCTCAAAACCCTTTAAAAAAAAAAAAATCCCAACCAGATATTGGTACCAAGTTACTATTTCTGGACCACAGTGAATTGCTGAAGTTGACCTCTGTTAGAAGAGGTTGTTCACATAAGCATTTCCAAACCTGTATGTGAAACCATAGTTTCATGACTAACAAGTCAATTTGGTCTGCAAATTACTGGAGAAAGTAGCAGTGTTGTCTTTGTCTCGCAACTTTTGATTCTGTGGCTGAGCTGCAAATGAAAAGGGGGTTTTTGTTGTTTTTTTTTTTCAGTTGTGCGTGCAGATTTCTATTTTTGCCAAATTAGGAGCTGTACATTTGTTAGAGCTTATGTAAGAAGCAGCAGGATTGCTTCTCTAACTGCTGCATTTTTTTTCACTGGTGTGTTCTTAGGTCAGGTTAAGTCAACTGCAGTTTCACCTGACTCATTTTTAACTGCAATTAATTAGAAAGTGTTCACATAACGAACATTTTTGGTGGATAGGTATAGATGCTGATTTTTGTCAGAAAGGTGGTGATTAGTGTTTGTGAGTCATTTCAGTGACCCAGTTGAGGAACTGAGATGGGATGCCTGCAGATGCCTTTTATATGCCTATCTCAAATAATTTTGTAAACGTGGTGTAATAGTATAACTACTGCAATTATTATATCGTTTCCGAGTCAAAAGAGTAATAGTGCTGTATAGTTTGAGATGCATAAGTGAAAAGTACTAAATAAATACTGTGTGTTTTGCAGGAAGGTAGTTCTAGAAAGCCTGGATGAAAAAGATTGAATCCGTTTCATATGCTGCCAGTGCAGGACTATTGTTTGCCTGTTTTCATTAAAGGTAAGGTATGTGTCAAAGAGCAAAAATGTTTGTGAAATTGATGTGTTAACATAGATGAAGTTCAGTATGAATGTAGTTGAAGATTCAAGCTAACTCATTAATGGAAAATTTGGATTTGGATCATTATCTAGCATAGTTTAGGCTTTTCAG